AAAAACCAGGACAGCCTTATCCCATGCCTGCAGAGGACTCCCAAAAGCCACGGTGAACACACCAGGAACAGGGAACAAGCCCAGCCCAGCCCGTGGCAGCAATGACAGGACACACCACAGGCAGGACATGCTGTGACTTCCCGACCTCTCCTTGTTCAAGGAAAGGTTTTCCTCCTGCTCTCACCCCACGGGGGAAGCCAGCAATTCCTGGGAAGCCCTGTGCCTGCCAGGCTCCCCAGGAGCACATGTCCTCGTTAGAGGCAGCAGATGAGATCCTCCCCACCCCACTCCAACAGGACATCTTTATAGTGGTGCCAAAGCCACGGCACAACGGTCCAAGACAGGATGTTCAGCACAGGCTCCCTGATTGGAACTGCAGGGGAAATTTAAAGCAGCAGGATGCAATTAGCCATGATGGAATACAGCCTCCTAAATGGCACAGGCTCTGGAATGACAGGGCTGAGCAGGTCTGTGCTCACAGCCCAGGGGCAGGGCACGCTGCACTTACCTCTTCCCTGAACACAGAGGCTTGTTCTTTGCAACCAGGTAAACGCTGGATGAAGCTCACCACCTGGAATTCCAGGAAAGAAACGTGGACAATTAAAATGGGACGCTGTCGAGCAAAAAGCTCCTGTTTCTGTACGAGTTCTTTATGCAAAAATTTTTACAACTTTAATACTTAAAACTCTCCCATTAATGAAGGATAAATTTCTGGGTTGCTGCTGCAACTGCTCTGCATATTCTGGTTGCCAGCAATAACTGTCCCTGTTGCCATTTGACCATTTCTCTCCCTGCTTCTCCATTCCCTTAAAACATCCCCACGAAATCAACATTATTTTTCCAGATTAAAAGCTGTGTGTGGCTACACTACTTTAAACTCATCCTCAACTTCACTTTTCTCTACAGTATTGCTGGAGAGCAAAATCAGGAAGAAAAAAGGATTTAGACAGTTTCCCAGGATGACATTGCCTGTGAGAGACAAGATAAACCAACTGAGTGAGCACTGCTGGTTTACCAACATCCAAAGGCAGGAGAGCTGGGAAGGAAAGGAGTTTTGGTTTTATTTAATCCGTGGTGGGTGCACAGGATCCATGGTACCAAGAGGATTAAACAAGTAAAAGTTAATTTTACATTTCACACTAGGGAAAACCTTTCTAAGCAGGGAATCTGTTAACATTTGGAATAATCTCCCTGGAGACCTGGGTTACATTATATAACACTAAGGAGTGCAAGGAGCAGCCGAGGATGAATTAATGTGTATTGTCTTCTCCAGCTGTAGCTCCACTGGTTCATAGAATATTTGTATATTGAGGCATAATCAGATCAAACATCTCCTGCTAATTGGATGCTCCCTTGCAGGAGCAGCTCTGTTTCATGAGGCACATCCATGTGAGTTGTTACAGATGTGACATTTCCTCCTGTACACAAACAAGCAGCTGGGAGGGGTCACTGTCACACACGAGCACCCCTTCAACTCAGGATTGTCAGAGCCTCTCCTAAATCATGTCACTGCATCTCCAGCTGATCCCACCACTAGACTGAGAGTCATTCCCTCCCTCCAGCCACGGGGCTCTCAGTGCCCTCCAGGTTTGCTCTCCCCTGGCAGGAGCAGCTCCAATTCCCGTGGTTTCTGTTATGTAACCTGAGAGCAGAGCATCCCTCTCAGTGCTCCATTTAAAGGGAACCCCTAAAATCCACATCTCCATCGGGCAGGGACTCCAAATTTTCTCCTGCAGAAGTGCAAACTCCTACCACAAACAAATGACAGAACAACCACTTTCCTTTTGAATCGTCCCCACCCCTTATTATTAAACCACAAATAAAAATCCTCCTGCAGGGTCTGGTGCCTTCCAGAATTTAAGAGACAGTTGGGCCCCTCAGGGCAAGAGGCTCTTCAGTGTCTGTGGCACTGGGAGGCTGGCAGACACCTCCTGGGAATGACCTGAGCCTGCCTTGCTCCTGTGCCCTTCCCTGCACGACTGCTGCTGGCTACTGTCACTGACACGGAGTGACAGACCTTTGATCTGTCCCAGGAGTCATTTGTAGGGACACTGGGAGCTCTTTGTGCCACAGGAGAGGCTTTTTAAACAAACAGGAGCCCTGGGGGTTTACCAGGGATGGAGAAAAGGGAGGGAAGGAGCAAACAGGAGTTGAAGGTCCCCAGAAGGGGAGCCAGACCCCGGGTTCCATCGAGCCACAGTGACCTGCCTGGTCCATCACTGCTGGGGAGGAGAGTCCCCAGACCAAGATGTGGCAGCTGAGGGACAAGGGAGGCTCAGGAGCATGAGATAAAAACACAGTGACACCACGGGAAACCAACCCAGCCCCCCAACAGTGGCAGGGAAGCCCTGAATCCAGGGAAAGGGTGAGGTTGGAGGGGCTCACAGTGAGGAACTGGGACAGGTTGGGAACACAGTGGGATCAAGGCTTTTCCTTTGAGGAAGTGAATGCCTGCCAGCCCTTCCTGCTCCATTTTAAAGGGAATCCCTAAAATCCACATCTCCATCAGGCAGGGACTCCAAATTTTCTCTTGTAGAAGTGCAAACTCCTATTACAAACCAGCAACAAAACACTACCTTCCTTTTGTAAGGAATGGAGAAATTGGAGAAACAGATCCCTGCTGTAACCACCCCAATGCTCCCAGAGCTGTCTGCTGGAAGCTCTTACACTCCCAATGCACATTAGGAAAGGAAAAGGGGTTGAAAAAGAGCTGAAAACACCTTAGAAACTCCATATGACCTGTCTGGAAGGTGCTGATGTGATCCCAGAGGTGACACACTGAGGTGAGCACAGGATTTATATCCCTGGGTGGCAAATGCCTGTCTCACACTGCACCCCTGGAACAGCTCCTGCAGGACTGACACCCCTCCTGAGGCCATCAGAGACAGGCTGGGCTTAACTGGGATTTAAAAACCCAAAAGCACTTGGCACAAGGACAGTCCCTCCCCCCCAGGTATTAACATTGATGCAGGATTAACTAATGAACAATACAACTGCAGCACATCTTAATGTTCTTCTGTGAGTCAATATGCTGTGCCCTAAAAACATGACAGGAAGCTTTCAATAAATACCAAAGCTGCATTAAAGTAACTACTCTTGTTGCCTGCTCAGTGTTACCAGGAGTTTCTTTGCTGGAGGGCCCCTAAATGCTGCTGCTGCTCTGCCATTTCAGCTGTTCTCAACCAGCAGAGAATTAAAGCAACATTTTTTTCCCTTAATGTGGGTTTTATAAAATAAAACCAGCTCTTTAGCCTGAAACCAAAGGAGAATTTTACACCCTTGTTACAGATCAGCAAAATGGGCTCCTTTGTGCAGCAGAGTTCAAAGCACAACCCAAAGGCAAATGTTTGCCCTGCAGGAAGATGTTGGGAGCCCAAATGCCAACAGACCAAATGTACTCTGGACTCCCTAAAACACAGCAAGTCCTGCTGCTTTCATCTCCCAGACCTGAGGTTTCACTGCACTGCACATGCTGATCCTGCAAGTGCTCAGACAGAGCCCAAATTGATTCCTCTGGGAATTTGTGATGAACATAATTTGCAAAACCAGACCCATTTGATTGAAATTCGAGACAAAAACCTGTAATGACTTCAGCCAGTCCATTGTGGGGCTGCAATTGAGCTTTTTAATGTGCCAATCACACTGTTACTGGCAGCCAAAACTTCCTCAGTTGTTTTAGGCTGCAGCACAGAGTTCAGGCTATTCTGGGTTGGAATCACTATATCCAGTGCCCCCCATCCATGTCCTGTGGTCCCTGCTTACATTCATCTGTTATCAAACTAATATCCCAGTTAAATTTGCCCAGCAGCTGCTTTAAAGGTCAACTGCAAAGGACAGATTTTATTTGGCTTGGATCCTGATGCTGTACTTCCATGAACCAGCCTCCCTGTTTTATCCAAAAGAAAGAGATTTTGATTATCATGTCAGAGGATTAACTGCTTCTGACCTTATTGATTTGCTAAAAGACCTTTTGGACAAATCATTGGAAACTTTCTCAAAAGGACAGGAACAGCAAATCTTTCAAGAGATACTTTTTCCTCCTTGCTACGAATTTAATTCAAACATATTTTTATTAAAAAGAAAGAAACAAACAAAAAACCAGAACAAAAAAACCCGCCACAACAACTAAGTTTTAAAACAGCAACCCTAATTGCTCTATCCCCTTTCCCAGCTGCTGTGGTTTCCATCTCCCACATCACTGCAATCCCACCAGATTCCCAGCAGTCCTCCAGCACGAAGAGCAAAGTCAAATTGGATTTATCTGATGTTAAGAGGCACTTGGGGAAAATGCACTTTCTGAAAGTCTCTGAAGATCCTCTCTGCACCACCAACAGCAGCACCTTTCTCCTGCTTTGCAGATTCCCTGCATCCTTGCAAGCACAACACTACAGCACATTCCTCTTGGATTAAATGCCCTGCAATTAAGTGCCAGCATCCAAATTGTCACCACTTCCCAAGTGCAGAGACAAATATTATTTATGCCCAAGGCATCGAGGCAAAAACCAACTACTCAGCACACAAAACACTCCGGGTTTTCACACACCACCTAATTACAGGAGACATCTCCAGAGCTGCAGAGACACATCCCCAGCTGCACAGATACCTCTGCCAGAAATCAGGTCAGGCTTGTGGGCAGTTTTGTCCCAGGGGAATCAAGCAGGGAGAGGCAGGAGGAGTGGGCATGCACGGTTTGGAATTCTCTGCAATGAAGTGAATCAGCAGCAAAGCCACGGGAGAGGGGGAGGGAGATCACAGAGAAAGGGAATCTGCTGTCAGGAGGAGGCTTCAGGCCTGAGGACTGAGAGATCAAGGGCTAAATAAACAAACAAAGGCAGGGAGGGAGGGAATCCTATTGAAGCTGTGGAAACCAGAGGGTTAACAGGGATCCCTCCCTGCTAAAGGGACTTGGGTGTAACTTCCAGCTGAGTCAGCTGTGGCATATGCACAGCAACCAGAGGGGGAAAGGGAAGAAAATAAAGATGTCTCCCAATTAGCACTCCAGAGGAGGAGGGAGCTGGCTTTCCTGCAGCCCAGGAGAGCAGAAGAACAGGGAACTCACCTCTTCCACAGTCCATTTGGCAACTTGTTTGGCTGTGAGGCCTGAGACCTCTGGCAAGAGCCTGCAGTGCTGCTCCCAGAAGAGATGGAGCCGGTGGGTCGGGTTAGAGGCCAGGGAAGGCATGAAGATGGACTGGTGGAGGGCCTGCTGGAGATCCAAATCAGGGCCTGGAAAAGGAAAGGAGACAAGTCAGAGCCAGGCTCCAAGTAGGAGCAATTACAAAGCAGGAGGAAGGGTCACAGTCTGGAGAGGGGAGCAAGGCAGGGTGGTCAGAGAGGGCCAGGCACGGCACACTGAGCTTCCAGGCCGTCCTTCCCACCCTCCTGAGCAGGAGAGAGGGGGAAAAAAAAAGATAAGATTGCCAGGCTGGAGGCTTTATCGTCAGCTTCTTCCCTGGAAAATGATGTCATGCTGCTAACAGAGAAGATGTTTGCAGCCTTTTATTGACAAGGTGGAGGAGTTCTGGTAACAGCATCTTCGGCTGGGAACTGATGGCACAGTTCCAGCTCCCAGCTGGAGCCAGCCTGGGAAGGGCTCTGTGCCTGCCAGCCTGTGGCCTGGGCTTGCTCCTGGGGAGACTCCCAGGCCAGGAGTGCTGCCTGTTACCTCCAGACATCAACTCCCTCCTCATGTGTCAAGTGGCGGAAGCTTTAAAAACCAAGACAGAAAAAAAAAAAAAAAAAACCAAAAAAAAAAAAAACGAGAGGAAGAAATCACCCCTCCCTAATGAGATCACTGGAGCAGTGCAGAGTCATGGTCCTGCAGGGACGTGCTGCTTATACAACAGGAAGCCAGGCAGAGGATGGAAACAAGCTGGGAAACATTCCTGGGGTTTGCAGCGGTTACGGTGGGCTGCCCCCAGCCCCTGCCTGCCCGGCGCCATCCCGCGGCAACCACGCGGCATTCCCGCTTCATCCCTGGCATTCCCGCTTCATCCCTGCCCTCGGGAAGGCTCCCTGTGCCTGGAGCGGCTGCCTGAGCCCAGCAGCTGTCAGTGGGTCGGGGTGTCAGGTGTGAGGGGTGTGCCAGTCCCTACATGGAAAGCACAAAGGAAAACGGCAGAGTATAAAAAAACCCCCCAGATTTCCATGGGTTTTCCAGCCAAAGGGAAAGCAGCACTGGAGGTAAAGCTTGTTCTAGGGAATGGTCACTCCCCTTGTCCGAAGGGTCACCTCATCTCCACGTCCCTAAAGGAAGTGGGACAGCATCAAATGTACCAAATTTCTAATAATGAGAGCGAGGGAGGATTTAAAACAAATAAAGCCTGAGTAGGAACCGCTCAGTTCAGGAGCTCCTGGTGAGAACACGGCACAGACACTGCTCCTGGGAGAGTGTCACCAACTCCTCCTCTGTCCCACTGTCCTTGTCCCCACCTCTCCCTGCTCCAGGAGGTCCCCACTTGTGCCCAAAGTTTCCCCCACTGCTGGCTGGGCACTGCTTCCACCTCATGCCAACTCCTTTCCTCCACTAAGCCCAAATCCTCGTGCTAAGCACCAAAACCACCTCAACAAATGACTTTCCTTCCGAGAAAGCAGCAGTGATCTGATAGTTTAAACAGAGCTGGGCTGAAAGCTCTGGGTAGCTGTGACATTACAGGTCAGTGGATTATTGCTGCATTTCCCTCCCCTGATTTCCATCATTCTGTGTCAGGTGAAGGTGAAGGGAGAGTGGGCAGCTTTCCCTGCCAGCTGCAACTGCAGCTCAGAGCTGGCAGATCCCTCAGCTCCCACTGCAGAACTCAGCACTAGGTAAAAATGAGTATTTAAAAAAAAAAAATAAAAGTAAATAAATAAATAAAAGCCTAGGCACCTGTCCCAGTTTGTGCCTGCTTAGCTATTTTTGATTGGAGACTTATTACCATGTTAAATCCTCCTAAAAGCCTGGTCAGCTCCGTTCTCTGAAATGGCTTTTTATAGTAAATCTGAAAGTTAAGCATATGGTTTGCTAAAGTGATAGGAGAAAGCTGCTCTGGAAACTTAACCTGTCATGTACCAGGAAAAGTAAAAAAAAAAAAAAGCATTGTTTTTTCCATTTAACTTTTCTTTCTTTTTTTCCTCTTTGGGAAAACCTTAAAAAAAGTCCCCAAATGATTCAGAATATGTTTCTGGATAGCCAGGAGGGTCTGAAAAAAGAAGCTGATGGAACTTAAACTGCCTGCCAGGTTTTTAAGCAAGTCTCCCTTGACACTGTGCTGGCTCTGTCAAGGCCTGACACAGGTCACAGACTGTTTGGGAATGAAAACCTTTTGCCACTAGAGAACTCGAGTCTGCAGTGGCACAAGAGCTGGTGCAAACTGTCTTCTCAGTTAATAAATACAAAGCTTCACCCTACAAAGTATTAAAACTTTCCCTTCTAAGTGATTTTACTCTTCCTCATCATTTCAAAGGAATTAAAACTACCACCACCATCCCCTCCAGCTTCATCTTGACTGTGGAATCAAAGCCAAAAAAGCTGTGAATTTCTGAATGCTCCTTGTGGCTGTGGGGATATTGCAGGGATATGAACACACAGAGAAAAAGGCATAAAATTTAACCAACCTTTCCCATTGCTTTCCCGTTTCACCAGCTGGAACTTGATATAGGCACGTGAGCACCCAAGCCTGAAAGCACCAATTACAGAACATTTCAGATGATACAGAAATGGATGTAATTTCCTCTCTATATAGAGATTAATGGGACTTACAGAAACTTATAGAAACTGAAAACTTTTCCCTGTTAAAATAAGCAGTAGCACTGCTCCATCCCAGACCTCTCTCTGAGCCATTAAATTCATGGCTAGAATTCACACTTGACTTTACTGCAGGAAAGAGAGGGCCAAAAATACTGGGAGGGAGGGAAGAGATTCACCATGTCGTTCTAAAACCCTCTGCTGCAAACCCCTGATCAAACTTTAAGTTGTGATTTGCACCTTTATTTCAGATACAGCAGCAGCAGCAAGGAACACCACAGTAAATGCAGGAAAACACATCACGCAAATCTTATTTACGTTTTTGGTGTGGCTTTGATGTCTGCAGAGGAATCCTCCTCTCCCCAGTCTCTCTCCTGACTGTTTTCAGACTGCTCTGATGGAGTGTGAACGCTGCTTTGACACCACTTCTCACTGTCTGGTGCAGCTTTTCTGGAAAGACAGATAAATGACGGGAGCTGAGCTGACACCCTCCGGTCCCTTTTCCCACAGGAGAGTGAAGCTGGCTGCTCCTTCCAAGTGAGAGCAGCAACTACCATCTAGTGGTGGAACTTTCCCTCCCCACGAGTACAAAGTGCTTTGTTACTCCTCTGCATGGATTGGGAGAGATTATGTGAAACAAATCAGGCTCTGTGGACTCAGGCTCCGATCCCAGCAGCTACAGGAAACCACTGGGTAATGGGGAAAGCCAGGGATTTGAGATTTCTGAATCCTGATACCTCTGGATAACATTTAAGAGTCTCCATGACTGAGTTTGATGCATCAACTGAGCTACAGAGTTGGCCAAGGAAGGACAAGCAGCAGAGTGTTACCAGATTTACAGGCTAAATTCAGACCTCCCACTACGAGGAAACGAAATACTCAGAAGAACAGAAATATATCACAGCTCTAGAATGCCATTTATTCTGTGAGAATCTCAAATCTCCTGAGGGGGGCTTTATGGTAAGAGTGCCATTGAAATGCAATCAATTCTGGTGTGACAATTAGAAATTAAGCTAGCTCTAGTTGGGAGGAGGCAAATTTGGCCTTCGAGGGAAGAGAGGCATTCATTCCTTTTTTTCCCAGCCAAACAGATCTTGGAAATGTTATAAATCTAAACAAATAGATGAACTTTAAAATATATATAACCCTTCATATACAACAAAGAATAAAAAGAATAAAACTATTGCTGGAGTTTGCCCCAGTGAGATGATCTTAATAAAATCCTTCATGCCCTGGTCTGTCCCACAATACATTTAACTGCCTCCTGTGCTCCAAGAACTTACACACAGTTTGCTTCAATGCTGCTCAATTCCAAAATTTTCCTGTAAGAAAACAAAGTACCTGAAGGAGCTCAACTTGTTTGCCAAGTGATACACACAGAGTCTGTTTAATGGTGCAAAATAACCTTGGCCTGACAGTTTTAGGACAAGGAAACGAAGGAAAAGAACATATTTTAAATTGAAACAGCAAGGAAAAATTTATGGAGACAGAATGCAATTTCCTTTGTTGGAATGTGACCAGAGCAGCAGGATTAAGGAATTGAGAAACCTATTAAGGCATATGAGGGTATAAAAGTGCCTTGCTCTGTGTTAAGAGTGTCTGGGGCACAGGTCAATATTACAGACAGATGAACTCAATGCTCTGCTGCTTCTCTGCCAATTCCGGTGGTTTTTATCCTTGTAAATGGTTTTGTTCCCCAGTATCTGCCAAGAATAATGTTCAGCTCACCTGGATTGTGGAGAGTCTCCCTGAGAAGACTCCCCTGCTCCCAACAGGAATGGGGCAGGAGTCTCCAGCCTCTTGGCCTTCTGCATGGTGTTCCCAGGGGAAGGTCTCTCCCCGCTCAGCCGGTCCTGTAACGAGTTCTCTCTGCTGAGGTTCACATCAGAGTATGGGCAGCCAACTAACCTGGGACAGAGGAACAAAAACCAGAGAGAGGTGACAATGCTTTACAGTCACACAGCCTTACCAGCCTCAGGCAGAGAAATCCATCACAAACCCAGAAAAAATGAGGCCACAAACACTCAGGGAGATGTTATTACCCACTCTGAGGTGCTGTTAGAGAAGAGCTCGTCCTCTGTAACCTGCTTATGTGAACATTTCATGGAACAAGTGAGTTCGGCAACTTCCACTCTGAAAAATCCCAAGCCCACATTACAAGCTTCAGACCTCCTCCCTGAGATTGTTTTCTTGCTCTTTAAAATAGTTTACTTGAGAAAAACCTTTCTCTTCCAAGAGAAATCAGAAGGCAGAGCACAAAACATGAGCAAGCACTCCTCACTCTTGTACTTTAATAACCTACCCACACTCTCTCTCTCTTTAATGTCTCCTTGCCTGCTGTTCTTAGGTACATTATTTTACAAAAACCTCTCCTTTAGCACTGCTGGAATGAAGAAATTGGAGTGAATTAGTCTGTTTGCATTGCAGTTATAACGATTATACTGGTATAAACAGAATTTATGATGAAACAGCACATTTAGACACAAGAGGGAGCTGCAATTGCAGATATAACCACCTCCAGAACAAACACTGAGATCATTTCAGTGCAGTGCAGGTGCTTGTTGCTGCATTATCATTATTAACAGCACTCAGACTCTTAGAGGACCTCGTTTACATACGTGTAATGTGTCCCATATCGTGGTCCCCGGACGTGCCCGATCCCGTGGCAGCCTGGAGTGGGACACACTTGTCCCACTGCTCCCTCTGGATCCTCAGCACCTGAAAAAAAAAAAAAAAAAAAAAAAAAAAAAAAAGGCAGTTAAACATGTGAAGAGCAAAATGCACTTAGGAAAATCATCCAGCATAACACCGTGGTGTCTCTGCTTACCTAGAGGGACCTGCAGAGCGTGTCCAGTCTTGGCACACCAGCCCACGGGATGGATGTCAGGGCTGTCTGCATCCACCCAGAAATCATAATGAGGGTCCCAACCATCGAAATGGATCTGAAAGAAGCACAGTCTCAGTGAGAGAGACAGTTAAGGGCATGACTCAGCTTTTATGTTAACTTCCCCCTCTGTCTCACCTTGCTCAGCTTGAGGCTGATTCATTCAATCTTTCATTTCAATCTTTCAGTCAGGCACAATCATCTCTGTGCTCAGGGTAACTCTTTGTTTTCCTGCATCTGTGTTTTACAGAACAACCAGGTTCTGGTGACACAGTTGTGTCATCCCACACACAGGGTGCTGTACAGTCAGAGCCCAGAGCTATGCAAACAAACTGATTATTTAATTGTTCTGTTTTCTGAGGATCCCAAACCACCAGAAAAGCCAACAAGTTCAGTGAGTTTTGCAGTGAACAAGCTACAACTTCCTGCTGGATGAAGAGACTGGTAACAGCTCAGACCCAGGTCAGGTTAACAAAGACTGAGGATCACTGGAATCTAAAAGCTACTGGGTTGTCTGTGCAGCAAAGTTTCAAATGGATGAATTGAATATCAGGCTACTAAATATTGGCAAAACTTGGCTTTTGCTCACAGCAAATGAGACTGAGAATCAGTTGGATAATGGGAAGTGAACTCCACTCCTGCCCACACAACCATCCTTTGGGAAGGAGACCTGTGGCCAAGGAGCCTCCATCAGTGCAGCCTCCACTTTAGCTGGCTCATACTTAATTTCTCAGAAGCCAAAGCACAGCAGATTTTTCTGGCAATATATTTATGTGAAAAGAATTACTTAAACTCCATCTGTGTTACAAATTCCTACTGGAGAATGAAGCCACTTCCCACATGGACCAGGGTTTAAATTGCTTTGAGTTTTCCTTTAAGTATGGCAGGAAAAAAACCCTGTCAGGTATTTTTCCCCCAGCTGAACACTAATGCTGCCTTCAACCCCGGAGATCACACAGAAAAACACCACGAGATGGAAAATCACACTGTCAAGTGTCATTTCAGAACAGTTACATTAAAACAGCTACTAACAACACCAGGCAATTCCATCAGATTTCAGCAGAACAAAGCACCAGAAATCATTTCCAGTTGGGCAGGCCCTGAGGCCACATCAGCTGCCAGGCAGTTGTTTGCTGCTCCTCCAACCGAGGGGGTGTTTTTCTGTTCCTCAGCACAGGGCTCTGCACTTGGCAGCAAGGTCATACCTTAATGCGATGGTTGTCTTTGTCAACTATTGTTGCCACTCTTATCAAGATGGGATTTCTCCTGTCCACAGCCTCCAACTTCATATTAACTTGGAATCCGTGAGCAGGGCGCTGGAAGAGAGCATTGCAAGCAGAATGTTAAAAAGCCTGGGAGTTCAGAGCTGGTCACCTGCTCTGAATGAAACGTGCTCGGGTTTTCATCCACCCCTGTGGAGCTTTGGGCACTGATCTCACACAGACTGCTCCAGAGGCCAAAATCAGAGTGTCTAACAGGTTAAAATCAGAGTGCACAAGAGGTCAAAATCAGAGTGCACAAGAGGTTAAAATCAGAGTGCACAAGAGGTTAA